GCATCTAGCACAATGCAGAATGCGTGTATACATACACAGATTTTGTGACCCAGTACTGTGCTGGGTAAGGAACCTTTTAAGCAGAACACTTCAGTTTTGTTGGCTAAAATACTATTAGCCCATGCTCAGTTTATTGATGCATAAAAATTCAAGGAAATATTTTTCAAAGGAATTCATACTCCTCTGTCACTGTAGGAATGCTTGATGAAAAATCTGCTGGGTGCCAGAAAAGGAAAGAAAATAATCTATTTAAATAGCACAGTGATTTCTAGTGCTGAAATACTGGTTTAGTTTTATTTTTTTTCAATCATATTAGCTCTAGATTCCTTTGTTTCTCAGAGGAGCTGATATGTTGGCAAATATGTGCCAGAGTTGTTTATGGAAGTGACCTAAACCTGCTAACTAGTTAGAGGGCATGCTGTTGACCTATGCTAGTTTTCATTACATGGAGTAGAGAGTACTGATATTTCAAAATCTCTTATCATATTGTAATTTGAGCCATACAGCTTGCTAGGTTGTCTTTTAAATAGTTACGCTCCTGGTCTTCAGGCTAAAAGACGAGTTACTATTATATCTGTTGCTCATGTTATTAATCCCTGTTAGATGAACACTTCCTGTTTCTTTTCAAATATTCCAGGGAATACCTGCTTGGGCCTGTGTCTAGGCTCCAATAGACTGAACTTAAAAGATGGCCATGGGTATGCTTTAAGAGCTTTGTAAACTTTACAGGTAAGCACGTGCTCATGTGTACTTCTACATTTAGACGTTTAAGACTCCTTCAAGTGTTTTGACCTCTACCTCCTGGGTGACTGCCTAAGCTATTTGTTAATATGGAGACGTGACCATCGTTCTTCTTCCCTTTGCGAAGGGGGATGAGTGGGGTTACAGCTTGTGTAACAAGTACTGGAGAATTAATTTTTTCAAAATTTCAAAGCAGTTCACTTCTGATACAAAACAGAAGATTAGAGAGCATTTTCAGAAATGCTTCCCTTTTCTGTTTCTGCCAAAATTCTCTTGAGTTTGGTCCAAAGCTGTGGGGCTCCAAAATTGCTCTTTTCACTGGATAAATGACCCATGCGAAAAGCTTTCCTCAGCTTATGCTGACTGTACCTATAGCTCCCTATGGGCCGAACTGGAAAGTAGATGTCTAGCTCAGCACCCAAAAATCTGCTCATCCAAAAGCAATGATGACCCTGATCACAGGGTTTTCTGTTCTTAAATCCTTGCTTTAAGCTGAAGCTGAATGCTGGCCTATGTATAGTGGCTTAATTATTTTTTCATAATGCAAAGCCAGCGCTCACAGAGCTGCAGACATTCAGAGCGGAAACTTCCATTATCATGATATACAAAGTAGTGTGTCGCAAGATAATGGTAAAGTAATAAAGTTTTACACCGAAACAACCTTGGGGGCAACTAGATGTGTTTGTTTTTTTTTCTAAGTGTGATCCGTTATTGTACTATCCGTCTGTTAAAATAAATGTCTGACTTCTATTGTTTGATTAGATTTGAAGAATCACATTACATTTACCTGATGGCTTACCTGGTCTTAAGTCGAGTATTTACTTAAACTTTTGCTGAGCTGCAGTTTATTCAAAGCTCCAGTCTGAAATCTTGCAGGAAACACTGTGTTCTATAACCAGTATAACCGGTAATTGCAGAATGCAAACATGCATAAATAGAGCTCTAAACATGCATAAAAAAGATTAAACTTTTGTGGAGTTCAGGTTATACAAGTAGCTGACATGGTAACTGGGTATCCAAGAGGAAAAACCAGTTTTCATCCTAAAATGAAGTCTAAATCCAGCGACCACGCAGAAGTCTTTATGAATAGCTTTTCCTCATGGCGTATCTAAAGATCAGCAGACTTGGGTTGTGCAGAAAGAGTGGGAAAAATTAGGTCCTAAATTTGAAAAGATTTATTTCCTCCATCCAGTCCTGAAGCTTGGAGTCAAATAGGGTTTTAAACATTGAAGATACTGACAGAGGAAGGAGTTGGAAGGGACGTGGCAATGGCTCCCAACGCGAAGGATCCTGGACATAAATGATTGAATGATGATAAACTCTGAGACTTTTGGGCTATCTCAGCAGCAAACAGGGTCTAGTGCCCAAAGGCCTGGGACTTTTTTGGTTCGAATTAGGAAGAGAAAAATAAAGTGATTGGAGATTTGCCCTCCAAGTGTTATATTTCGAAAAAGAAAAAGGCGAGAAGGAACTATCAGTTCAGATGTCTTCAGCAGATCTGTCGTAGGGAAACCTCCCAGAGCTGTGTGGTAACGTGTCATTCCCTAAGGAACAATTTAGTAGAGGTTAGATGACTGAGGTTGTCGCGTAAGAAACCTTCCCTTCCATATCACTGGCTTATTTCTATCCCTATTTTATAGGGATTTTCTCCACCATGCAGGCTACCATGGGCCTGCACACAGCAACACCCTAGCTCTGACTTTCCTTATGTTGACTCAACTTAATTATAAGCCTCCTCCCTATATCTAACTTGGTTTGCCTTGTCCGTTCATCACCTCTTCTGGTCTTCCCTTCATGTCTGGTTCTGAAAAAATGTCTTCTTGTGTGGTGTTTTTCACTTCCAGAGCCCTGAAATATCTTATCCTGATTTGTATGTACTGAACTTTGTTAGGGCCAGGGAAGAAAGGAAGATGGCCATCAGGCCCTTCAGCAGGGGAAGTCCAGATGTTGTCTTCTGCCTCAGTCATTAGTGACTGCATCTAAGAAGTGGTGAGGGAAGTGGGGAGAAAAGGGGAATCTGAATGTCCTGTGATTAAGTGACTAAAAGGTTGTTGTCTTGGCACATATATCCCTCTACTGGGAAAACAAGATGGCAAATTTACTCTCTATATTATTTTTATATGGACCTGCTCAGTTAATATGAAGAGGAACAAATTCCTTTCCGCTCTTGCAAAGTTTTATTCTAATATACTTTCCTGGACTACGCCAATCTCTTTGTACTCTTTACAACCCCTATTTATAGCTTGCACCTGCATCAGTTAAGTATTTCATATCTGTGGATAATTTTGAGTTTCTCAGGCAATTAAAGCAAGCCTCCTGATTAACTCTGTAACACTGTTAACTCTCAAATGACAGGAAGCAAACCTACTAGGAAAAACCACCAGTCAAATAGCTTATTCCACTTGAGCAGGAATTAGAAATACTTTTGTGAATTATGTGATTCTCTTAGAAGCAAATATGAAATGCTAGCTGGTGGGGAAATTTTAGATGTAACCCACCAACATAACAATTTTGTCAGGTACTCAACGCCCAGAAGTGGTCCCTAGTTTCAAAAGATTTAGTTCCCATTAAGTCTCCAAAAACCCCAGCTCATCACACAGCAGCTGTCAGTGCAATATTTCCAGGCAGATTTTTAGAAGAGCTCAGTATTCAGTGTGTTCAGATATCTTGTTAATGCAGCCATTTTGCAAGCTAAATGGGACCTGAGAAAATATATAGCAATCTTTTTATTTGCCAATAGCAATAGGACAGTTGCAAGGATATTCATTCTATGGAGAACTAGCATTTAAGACAGAGCACAGCACAGTGATAAAATCTTCCTTGTGAGGGGAATAATACTTCCAGTTACTCCAGCTCATTCTTTAGGCTGTTAGGAAACTTCGCACTGATGTAACTTCATGAAAATCAATGATACTGAAATAAAGAGGTGAAGCTTGAGGGTTTTTTTTTTTGGTAAGAAATCAAGCTTCAACTGTTCTCTGAGCAGGTTGGGTCCATAGCTCCTTTATAGAAGCTCTTCGCTTGCTAAGGACGTTTTGGAATTCGTCCATATATTAATGTTTCATGTTTTCCTCTAAGGGATTCTCAGATATGGACCCATAGTCCCTACAGTACATTGCATATGCTTGGGAACATCTGTCAGATGTTTTTCTTGCAGTATAAAGCCTTTCATTCTTTTTTTCTGCAAGATGTATCAAGTTCGCCGTAAGAATTGCTCAAGAAGTGATCAGTGGCTGGAGCCCACATTAAGCAGTCTGGTTATCAATGTTAACATAAACGGGTGCCTCTTCAAAACAGGCACAGCTCTCGCAGGCTCTCCTTGGCCTCAGACCTGTAACAGCAGCACCATCTTCCTTAGGAGGTGAAAAAGTTGGTTGTAATCGCTGTTATCTCCCTCGAGGCAGTTGAACGACTCTCTGTGCTTCGTGGCTCCTCTGCCGCTTCCTTTGAAGAGGAAGAAGAGAACATCTTTCTCTAGTTACAAGAATCTCTGTTTGTTTTGTTATTCCTCTCTTAAGAACAAACGAATTGCTGTCAATCCTATGTTATAAGGTTGTAATGTGCGTTCTAATCATTTGTTTTGGTGTAAGATTACCCTCATTACTGTCCGTACAAGTACTCTAGATGCCTAGAAGCATTGCACTGAAAGAATGTAAAAATTCTGAGGGGAATATTTGGGAAAGAGGTGTGTATTTTGAAACAATGGTCTTTTCCGAAAAGCACGTCCGGTAAAGCTGTCCCAAAACAGAAGCTCTGCTGTGTGAAAGGAAACATGGCCCTGAAAAAAAACCCTTTGGATCCTACTGCCGCCAAAAGCAGAGAAGGTCAATTCAAGGTGCCCGCTTCTCACGTCGATGTTCTCCAGGATGCCCTGAATGGCGACCTGTAAATCAAACGCTTCTGACTGTGGAATCCAATTCAACTTGGCACCACATGTAATAATGAATAGAGAATCTCAGAAGAAGTAGGTGGAATAGGGGAGATAACAATGTTAAACAAAAACTGGTGGAACTTCAATTTATTAGCTTTTTGTTGCACAAAAATGCAGTATGGGGGAGGCTAACCTTATTCACTGGCTTGAGTCCAAAATATGAAAGAAAAGAATTCCTTTGTATTAAAAATAATGGAAACATTCCAGCTTGAAAGCACGAGGGAAAAATGCAGAAGAAGAATTGTAACTTTGGATTCTCTGAGCATACAGTGTTCTCTTTTTCTTTCCTTCCCCTAGTCCTGATGAACAAAAAAACCCACTACTGCTTTCTTGGTAAGTTGTTCTCAAGTAGTAGGCTGCAGCTCTGCTCTGCTGTCTGTCGTCAAGGATCAAAAAAAGAAATACAGCCACACAGGAGAGGCAAAATATATTGTGCTGCTCGTCCTGGGTAAGTTGTTTCTTTTTTTCGCTGAACGCATGTGATTGCAAATTTTATAAGGAAGGTAAGCGAGAGAGAGAAAAATTCTGCCTCCTCCATTAGTGCTGATAAGCTCATATTCATAAAATGAGGTTTCATGGCATTTTTCATGTTTTAGACGTGATATATGAGGAAATGATCATCATCTGTCATTCCGAATGTTTCTGGAGGGCACAGTAATGATGTCTGTCAATTACTCTGCTGCTGGCTGTGGGAAATGTGTCCTCTGTGTATGTTTTCTGATATTTTTGAAGATGACAGCAGAATTGCATCCTTCTTAGGGCTAGCTACTTAACTATAAACTAGCATTGAATGTATAGAAAAACACATTTAAGATGGGAAAGCCTGCTTGAGTTGAGCCAGACAAGATTTGTCCTGAATTCATTTGTCCTCGATAAAATTATGTTATAACCAAAGACATAAACTCTTGTTTAAGTTTTCACAAGGGGCTACGTTTAAAAAACAGAAAACAAAAAAAGGCCCTCAGGCAAAATTTGAGTGCACATTTTGCCTATAATAATCACTAGTTTTCTGAGTCCTGAGAAAAAAGGTATATTTTTTCCCCCTTCCCTTAAATCACTTATGCAAGGATTTCACAGCAAATGAGGGTGGTTAGCTGGCAAAATCTCTGAGGCTCATTTAAAAGTCCCCGCTTTGATTTGAAGTGTAAAAAAGATAAATTCTCCTAGTCTCTTTGTGGATACCCAGCTTTGGTAAGAAGATGCTGAACTTAACAGGAATTGGAAGAGCTCAGTCGCTCGACGGAGAACTTCATCGCATTCAGGATAGAGTCTTAAGTCCAATCCAAAGGCCATGGAAGTTAATTGAATGATCTGATCCCTGCTGTGTTTTTTTTTTTGGGGCGCGGGGGGGAATTGAATTAGGCCCTCGGACATCTGAAATGGTGCGATGGCATTTAGCCAGGCCACTCTCATTAATTATAATAGGAACTGGACTGTTATGACCCTGTCTAACGCTGAGCACTTGCCCTTCTCCGTATTGAGATTGACTTTGTAAGGAAGGGCTTTGCATGCTTTTTCGCTGCACGAATCTCGATTCTGATTGGCAGCCCGGTATCGCAAAGGAAATACTCGAGCGTTTGCCAGCATCCCCTTCTGTTTCAGTGCAATATTTCAGGAGAAATCCCACGCTCTTCGGCCTGGTTTCCTGCTTTGTTGGCTAGTTCTGCTTGAATAAAATGGTTTGCTTGGAGACGCCTCCTTGCTTCACCACTGAGGTGTGGGAGCGCGTTACGGGACGGTTTGAGGTTTGGCGTGCCTGCTGGCAGCCTCTGCGGTAGGGCTGTCGGCGCTAACGATAGCTCTGCCCTGATGCCGTTTGTGTTGTTCTTTGGGAGCTTAGTTAGGGAAAAGTGTCAATCTTTTTCTCCTATGCGTTTTTGTCCCCACCCTTCCCCGAGTACAACATACGCATGTTTGTGTCCAAACACGTGTATGTAAAGCTGGGCTGATGAAAAAAGCGTGCTTTTATGTGGTGAAAGTTTGGTCTTGCTTTTTTCTGTTCCACTTGGTTTTTTAACGTGAAAGTACTTCTATGGCACCTTCAACTTCAATCACTTCTTGTTTTTGCCCAGTGTGATTCTAAAGCGTAATGGGGTATTTTTCTGCAGTTCTACTAAATTTAGCCCCCTACTACAACAGGATTCGTTTCCTAATAACCCTTTTTTAAGAGTATAGCCTACCTAAGACTGAGCATCGTTTCTTTCGCATTGGAAATACCAATTTCATTGACACGTATTCAATTTCCGTGCAGCTCACAGTGCAATCAGCCTCGCAAACCATTCTGGGTCCTTCTGTAATCCTTTCTCAGGTAATCAAACAGGCGGAAAAATAACAAAACCAAAAAATTCCCTTCCTCTCCCACCGTTCTTCAAATACGTACATGGGAGGGGGGAAAAAAGAAGCAAGATGTGCGCAGCCTTTTGTTTTTTTACAAAACGTGTCCATGGTGAGAAAATACAGGTAAACCATTTTAGTTCTGAAAACTATTATATATGATGGAGCAAAGTCTAACTGGCCATAATCAAAGGCATGTTTTGAAAAATCTCTCTGGAAGAAGCTAGGAGCTGGTTCGCTGGAGTCCAGGTCGGTAACACTCCTCCAAACTTAAGATATAATCACCACACACCCGTTTTGTATTCTATATCTGCAGGCTGTTATTATACTGTGATGTAACCTGAGCCTAAATACTGATTGATTGATTTATTTTAGCTGGATACCTTTTTGTTTCCTTATAGAAAATACTGGCTTTTTGGTTAAAAAAAAAAACAAAAAAACAAAAAAACCAAAAGCAGCAGCAGCTAAAATAGCAGGAAAAAAATAACCCTGAATGTGACTGAAATATTTTGGTGTTTGATTCAAATATTGTTTTGTTTTGAGGCTAAAGGATTTCTTTTTATTAACAAAGCTGAACGTTTCTGCGGATGGATGTTTTGCATGTGATACTTAGTTCTAAACGCCATTTTCAATTAGAAGCAGCAGCTGGTTTGGTGTCTAGCTGCCTTAGCTTAAAACGGTTGAGTGTTTCTTAAATCACAGCTAAATTTAACACTGATTTTGGAAGAGTCAGCTTTAATTAATGGGAGTAATAAAAAAGTAACAGAAGTAAAGAGAAAATATCTCATTTTTTTCTCAAAAGCAGGACTATAAGTGTAATCATTTTTCTGGATGATTACTGCATTTCTTTCCCTTGATCTCCAAGGCTGTTTTACTTTTGTGACTTCATGGACCCAAGTGGGCATGTGAAATTATGGAATAATTATGATAAATGATGTGGAGCCAAAATTGACAAGCTTGAGTGCCATTCCTTTGGGCAGTCTTGTTAAAAAGAAGTCAAAGTCACGGACTATCCATTGACATATCACCAGTGATCTGTTTTTTGCCATTTCAGTATCTGGTGCAGTTGGGCAAAGGTGCAAGAATTTCAGTCCTAGTTGATACAAACCCTCGTGGTCTTTTGCACAGAAAAATCAAACCACAATACTCTACGACTGTCTTGTCTCTAAGCAGATACAGATGCGTGGCAAAATGATAAGTAGGATGATTTCCCTGGTTTCTTATCGCACTCTATCCTTTGTAAGGGAATTTTCTGGTTATTATACCTTATACATTTATCCATTATACATTACAACATTGTACATTTGTGGAACCAAAGGGAAAATCTATAATAGTAAGAAGAATACAAAAGTTTTTATGTGGTGATAGCTACCAGGTTTCTTTTCAGTTCTTTCTTCTACTTTTACAGGATGTATCCTGAATACAGAAATAATGTAGTCAAGCATGACCAAGAATGAAATATCACCCAAAAATGGTTCCATTTTTCAAAGTATAAAAATAATGCAACTAAGACTATAGGTTAATTATATACTCTCATTTCAGACAGTGTTGTGTTAGTTTTGCTTAATTAAGAAGCCTGCAGAATAAGGTTTATTTACCTGACGATGTTTGATTTGATAGAAATAACTAAAAGAAGGGTTAAATAAAAATAATTTGGGTTAAAGGAGTTTTAATGTTCTGTCCTTAACAAGCCCTTATGGACCTTCCTTTCTACCCTTCGGTCCCTAAGACGCTCAGGACTGAAAAAGAACAAGGATGATGGGACAAAACCTTGGCCTTCCTTCCAGCTGGCCAGCAGTCTCCTGCTATGCTTACTAAAATCATAGCGTAAAGTTATGAATTACATCTCCGCAGGAGCCTAGCCGCGTTCTCCTTGCTGCTGAATGGCTGTAGACTGAAAAAGAGCTTTTTCTGAGTCACGTAACCTGCCCTAGGTATGTTTTGGTAGGCAGTCACTAACTGCCAACTTCATAGATTCCAGAAAAGCTCATCATACCTTTAATAAGCGTTAATGAATGTTATGGAGGAATAAAACAAACTGCGTGTTAAATTACATCTGCATCCGTTTTGTACAGCTCAGAATGGCGTCTAATTGCTTTAACGTTTTCTTGATCAAGTGACGCTCAGTGGCAGCAGATTTTTACAGCTCTTCAGAGAGCTATTCAGATACCTATCGAGTACTCTCGCTTTCCATCGGCCAGGCTCCTAGTTCACCATTCAGCCGATTATTCCGCGCTCTTCTAAAAAAGAGCACGACTAGTAACCCAGGCAGAGATGAGCTTAACTGTTTCGTGCCAAGTTAAAGGCTGGTTCTCTTTTGTACATCAGAACGATATATATGTATGTATCTGTTATATATTTCCATCTTTAACGTTCTCATTCCACTGTCTTAAAATGTGCTTAAGGAGAGATTCCTGGCCAAACAAGTGATGAAGTGTTTCATTTCTTAATACGTTCAAATTGCTTCAAAAACCCAAACTGTCAAATTAATGAAGACACTAAGACGACCATAAATGAGGGCAAATGAAATGCTAACTGAAATTAGCAGGTCTAAGAGGAAATAGCGAAAGACTTGAAAACTAATGCTAAGAAATTCTTTATATTTAACAGGCACGTTAGAGCAAGGGAGTGACAGCGAAACTGAACTTCATGGGAGAGTAAAAGCAACAATTAAGGGACCAGTGGTGACTGCCATAAATCTGCAGAGCTGCGGAGTGGTTGTAACGTGAGGGCTGCTTTGATTCAGGTTTGCCACGGGAGCAGCACCTCCATGGATAAGTGGGCGCCAAGGTGACGCTCCTCCTGTTGCACTGAATTCTTCAAGCTTAGGGCGAGATCTCAGGCTGTAACTGATGATACCGTAGCACCCGATGGTCAGGTCACTTTTATTAAATAACCGAATATTGGTTTAGGGGACTGGTTTTCCCTATTAAGTTTTACCTTGGATTTTAACTTCTTTGTTAACGTTGAAATGTTTGCACACCTGCCTACGTTTTCTCTCTGCTTCTTATTCCGCCTCACTAGTCTGCTTTTCAAACCTGCCTCGGGTATGAAATATACAGTATATTTTAGCAAACTCCACTTTCTCAGGGGTTGCCTGATGAGAGGTGGCTCAGAAAAAAAAACCCTTCATCTGGGTGATAGCAATAGCACGTTGGTATTTCAGAGGGCATTGCGTTTTACAGATGTAAATCACGGCAGCGATTGAGCCCTCCCCATGATCAAGAAGAGAAAAAATCATAGAAAATATATCTGCAACAGATTTTGAGAGCACATTTTTGTCAGAGAAGAATCAATTGCAGCATAATTTTTCTTTACATATATTTGACTGGCTTAGACCTAAAAAGTGGTGATGGCGATTTCATAGGCTCCGTATAATCTGTTCCAGTATTTTATTATCTTCACTCTCTGAAAGTTTTTCCCATCACTCAACTTCTGCAAGCCTTGCTGTGTTTTACACCCCTGACCCGTAGCACTGTGAATTCCTTTTCTTTTTTTTCAGTTGTCTTTTAGGTATTTGAAGTCTGTCATCGTTTTATCGCGTTTCCCTTCAGTCTTATCCTTTGGAGACCAAAGAATCCTAATTCCTTTGGCCCTTCTTGTAGGTCATGGCAGACCTTCAAATCCATTGCAGTGAAAAAGGTAAGACTTTCAAAAATATCTCTTTGGAGCATGAATTTCACAGGTCTGCCATAGATTTAGGTTCCTAATTTAGTCGATGCTTTCAACACCTGCCTATAAAAGGCCCTTCTTGGTTGTTAAGCCATTGATTCAACCTGTGACACCTCTTACTGCACTCCATTAAGAGGAGTGTACAGAAATTTTTTCACAGCACATTGTAGAGAAATTATTCATCTGAATGATTTACGATTACCTGGCGTAAGTAAATGGAAGTGACACCTCTAGTGTGGTCTTTTTTTAAAGAGACCTAATTAAGATTTGTACAATTGCTAAGAAAAAACTCTGAGTTAAAAATCTAAATCTTAGGCTCCTTGGAAAATATCAGTCTTTGCATATTTATATTTAAGTCCACTGGTTTTCACATGGTGATCTATACACCTGTAATGATCTGTGCATTGTATGGTACATGTATATGTTGTACATACATGCATATCGTAATATATAGGTATAGCATGGGATATTTTGTTGAAGTATTGTCTCTAAATATTTATATGGTAAAAAAGGAAAAGCAAGTGCACTGATGCCTTTGAATGCCGTTATCGCTAGGAATTCATATTAAGAACCTCAACAAAGAAGTCTAATTGCCCTCATAGCATAAATCTGCACTGTTGTTTCTGTGCAACCAGATGTCATATGCTGTAGAGGAAAATGAATGCATTAATATCAGCCTTATTGATCAGAGACTAATGAACTCTGTTTGTAATGTGTCATGTTTTAAATGGTTGTTGAGCCTTACAGGCCTTCTTTCCTCTGAATTTATTTGTCATTATTTCTACGTTATGATCCTAAGAGAAATTACAATAAGAAGGCATTGTTTTTGTTTAAATTGCATCAGGCAGATTGATCTAGAAGTATGGTTTGGTTCCTTTTGCTTCTGTGATAAATTACTACGTTGTGATACAAGAATCAGTGGAGTGGTTTAGATGAGTGCAGTGGCTGCTGTGATCACTGCATGCACATGAGAAAATCGTGCAGCACCTTAAGGTGCCTCACACGTTGTTTCCTTCCAGTTCAACAGATAACGTTCAGATGTGGGTTGAGTGAACCAACAAAACGGTTCCTTAACAGATGTCAAATCTACTGCATTCACAAAAGGGCTCAAAAATGAGTTGCGGTCTGTGACATACTGGATGGCATCCGGAAGAGAATTTAATTATTTCAGTTTCTAAATGAGCTCTATATTTACAGATTTCCCATTCTTACTACAGTTGATGGATAGTAAGTACTGAATTCCCCCTAACAACCAGACATTACTGTGTGAAAAAGCACAGCATGGACATTATGAGCGGTTAGGCTGCCTTCCCCAGTGACCACTGAGTAGGGAACTGGAAATGAGTTACGCCCCTCATAGCTGGCAGGACTTGCAAAGGTTTGGTGAGAAGATGGGTAAGATCATTTTCACAGCAGAGAGGCTTCCTAGCACACTGGTAACTAGTTTTGCTACTCTCATGTGACCTTCATAAATCACCTTTGGCAGGGTGCGTTAGCCCTTGCTGAAAGTCTTGACCTCCCGGCTTAAGTTGTGATTGGATTCCTGCAGGCATCGTTCCCTCAAAGGGGCTCAGAACATCTGAATTTCGGCTTTCAGAGCCACTCCTTGGAAATCACCTTCTTTTTAAGCCTGTGGGGAGAGAAAGTGCAATAAGTAGCCAAAAGGAAACTTTGCTCTAGCATGACCAACCTGGCCCCGATATGCTGTCTCTGAGCAGAAACCCTGCTTGAAACCAGTCTCAGTTGTGTGACTCAACATCCCTTTCTGATAGCTCAAAGAAGAGGCAAGTTCGGCTGGGCTGCAGCTACCCTGAGGTATACTAAAAAAAGGAGTAAAAACACAGAGGAGAAGCCACTGATCAGGGTAATGTCTACAAAAAGGATAAATAGCGATAGTTATGTTGTTTAACTCCAGGCAGCAACATGCAAAGTTAGGAGGTTCTTTCAAATTTAAAAAAAAAAAAGGTATTGCATAAAGGAGTGCTATCTGGCCAAAATTAGGAGGCTGCTAAAGGCAGCAAGTAAAAAGTAAGCTCTGAGCCATTTCCTTCCACCGTACTCGTATCGCACGGAGGCCACAAACAACAACTCTTAAATCTCAGCCCAGACGCCCCGCAATAATTATGCCAGTATAAACAAGCAAGCTTCAATAGCAGATGCACTCTATCCGCATCTGAGCTCGCCCATGTAACCATAAATATCTTTTATAGGTATAAACATCAGTTATCCGACAGCCTCTGTCCTATAGAAAGCTTGATTAGGTGATAGCGAGCGATAAATAATAGTATGTGTGCAGCTGATTATAGCGTCTCTCAGAGCGGCGCCAATTCATTTGCAGCGAGCCTGCAGTATGTCATGCGTATAACAAGCCGAGCTGCAGGAGACGAAAGACTGCATAAAAACCACCAGGCTGAAGTCCTCCGGTCATCTTGTCCTCCATGCGCTGCTTAGAAAGGATGGATTCGAGTTGCATGCCACCAGTGGGAAAGGTAAGTTGCTGTAAGTCCCTATTTCCCCTGCCTCTGCTCTGCTCAGGTTAGAGGAGGCAGCGTCCTGCTATGCCTAATTCCTACAGATAGAGAAGTCCTGTAGCTAATTTACACCATCTGTTCAGCCCAGTGATGGATCAAAGCCCGAGCTGTCTTCTGACAGCCCCTTCTTGTATTCAGTATGACATTGAGACATTGAGGTGCATCAGAGGTTGCACGCTCATGGGATAAGAAAGGGTGCTTTTGAGAAACTAGCAGCAGACCCTTGGAAAACGGGCCTGGAAAGACCAAATGAAAGAAAATCTGGGACCCTGAACTCAACCCAAATGCTATCTCGCGTGGACTGCACTGAGTACTCCAAACACCACACTGTATGCTCAAGACGTTCCTCAGCTGAATCCTTTAAAACACAAGCCTCTGTTTTCCAGAAAGCTGGTGGAATGACGTGCCCAATTTCCACTCATTTTCACTGCAGTTTAATTGCTCAAAGCTCTTGTATTCCACGGCCAAAGTTTCTGGTAGCGAAAGGGAGACGATACAGCATCAGGTAGCAGTAACAACAGGCTGCTGTTTCTGAAGATTGCCGTGAAGCCGCTGCTGAGTCTCTTAGGACACACTTAGCTTTTCTGCGCGGTAGAGCTGGACCTGTGGCAACTCAGCGTTCAGCACGCGCTTGCTAGCCGGATACACCTACCACCGTCCCTCAGCAAAAATCGCAGAGTGATGTTCATTTAAGAGTGCTGCAGTTTCTTTTCCAAAGAAAAAGTACTGCTAATATTGTAATGGCTCTGAGGCTGAAATTATTAGGTTGCTATAAACTGAGAAAACCCTTTAGACGGAAAAAGTTATTCCTGCCATGTAAATCTAAAAGCATATCTCAACTAGCTCAGTATTTTGGAACGTCATGTTGTATTTAGAGGAATTTTTAATTCAGTTGAAGGCAGTTATTTTCGAACTCCTGGGCAGGCATGAGTCTCTGGAGGCTTGAGCTGCATTTATTACAGCCTCTTTAAGGGACTTCTCTGATGCTAGACTCTAGCAAAAGAGGAGTAAATTAATCATGAATGGGCAGTGCAATTCCCTCTCCAGAGTCCTCTGGTCAAATTAATATAATCAATATAGCACAAACTGTCAAGCACTTTTTCATATTTATGTTACTTTTATAGCTTTTACCTATATGGCAAAATCGGCCTGCTAAAATGTGGCCACACTGTATTATATGGTCACATCTACAAAATAGGAAAAAGACATTAAAAATACCTTCCCCTTATTGGCTTCCTATTTCCTATTTGTAAAGCCTGTAGCTGTATACTGGCTACCAATAAGAAGTTTAAAAGGCATGAGCCATAAATTTGCACAATATATGAGCGTAGGGAAGAGTCTGTGTAGATATGGCAGGAAGGCTCAGCCTTGCGTTTGGACGATCCATTGAGCAAGGATTTTGAGGGCTCTGCCAGGTGGAATTGACTTAACCTGTTCTCTAGCAGCTGCAAAGCGTCAAACCCCACGTTGGTATCAATGGGATGAAGGCATTGACCTTTTTCCTCCTTCCTGCCGTGCCTCGTTGTCCGCATGAAGGAGCGGGAGAAACATTCTGGGCTGAACAGTAGCAAACGTCATTGAGTTTAATCCAACCCCATAGAAAAGTTCTCCAAGACACTGTGCATGCAGGGACCCAACATGTGAGCTTGAGCAATAGCCAAGCCGTTGAATACGCCAAAAGCCTGTCTGCTGGACAAAAGTGATTTATGTAAAAAGTTAGCTGAAGAGACCGTTAGAAGATGATCGTACTGATTTAACGTAGGGAAGAGTTACCGTTGTGCTAATGTACCTCGTTCAAACGGCTGAACCAATTTATGTTGTTCGAACTAACAGCCAAGTATTGTAATCTACTTAAAGCAGAGAACAGATTGAAATCCTCAGAAACTACACAATTAACATTCTTCCTAAAGCATTACCATATTTGATGGAGTTAGTTTCCTGTGATTTAGCCAAAAGAAAAAGGCTTTTGACATTAGATTCTTGAAACCTTAAGACTCGGAGTGGAGCCTGACATGTGAAAAGCAATTAGAGTGTGATTCATTAATCTTGTACAGAGCAGTGGATGGCTCGTGGCTGGGTAGAATTAAAAATAGAGGGAAAAAATTAACATGCTTTTTGTGTTACCGTGGTGTGCAGTGCCAAGTGCTTTCCTGCTTTTCTGGACTATTTTAATATTCATGTTTAACAAACTGGGAGCCTTTCAGATCCTGTAATAACATAGGTAATGCTTCTTTCAGCCTAGACAGATTTTCAAATTACAGAATGTTTTCTTTCTTGCTGTTATGTGGTTTACTTTTTTTTTTAATTTAATCTGCTTTTATATATTGATAATACAGGTTATGTGGAAGAAAGAAACAATCTTCAGAAACTCGGATTAACTCGGATTATTGTGATTTGCTTTCTCTTCCAGTTTTCAGACAGTAAATATCCCTTTTTTGGGCTGAATGGCATCTCACCCTTTCTGTCTAAGCCCAGCTCGGTCAGAAGGGAGCACTGTTTTATTCTTAGTAGACTGTCCCATACGTTGACAGCCATGAGCAGACAAGCTACACAACAATCCCCAGATGAGTTTAACAGTTCTTCCTGTTGACTTTTTCCAGACTTGCAAGAACATTCTCGAAGCAACCTGAACGTAGTTTCTTTAGTTGTTACTATCCTGAGTGTTTCGCTCTTGACACAACTCCTTGTGACTATACCGTATGCAAAGTAAGGTTATGCAAAGCAGCTAAAGTGGGCTTACTAACTGACAAGTGACCATTAATTTTGTAACAAACTTTTCCAACTGTAACAGGAAATAACCGCAGGTCACTGTGACCACTCATTTATTTCGTATGCTAATGAGATCAAGAGGGCAGCGCTTGCAGCCTTGAAAACTAAATTAATGGAGGAGAATCCCCATGCCTGAAATTGCATGAAAACTACATTAAAAAAAATCACTTTGGCTGGCTTAAATACAAGATTTAAAAAAGAAAACAAAGCAAATAGAAGAATAAAGCACATCCTTTTAGGACACATTCACAAAAGGAGCAATATTTTAGTTCTATATTTGCACAATGCCATCACACTACAGCTGAGGAAAACAGCTCAAAATAATAACAGCAAAGGTAGCAGAACCAATAATACTCAATGCTTTGATAATACAGAAGGAAAAAAAAAAAAAGAACAAAGAGGATTTGGAAAAAACCAAGGCAGTCTGTGGGTTAATGGGATTACAGACTGAAGTGATAGGATTAGTGACTATGCCTTCTGAACGGCGTCGCTCTCGCTATCAGCATAGATCAGGTTCTGAAACACAAAATTAAGCGTAGCTCATTCCCAGTACCAATTCTGAGCCAAATTCAACTATAATTGCAATCAGTGGGAATTCTCATAGAGTGACAGAGCCAAGATGAACAAAAGAATTATAATCTCAATGTAAGGTATTGAAAAAAAAATTGCTACTTATTAGATATTCAGCTTTTTTGTAGGATCATAATATTGTTAGTGGTAGCAGACAGATAAAAAGATTTTTCTTACTTGGCTTTAGCTGGCTTTCACTCTCATTTCGGACCACATGCAGTTCTTCTGTGGCTAGCAGTTGCTGCTCAGAAATATATCCCCGTGAGCTGCACGTTGCCACCACAATGAAGGTTGCTCACAAGGAGTGTGCAGACCAGAAAAATATGAAACGATTGTCATAATCCAGATCTGAGGTGGGATAGGCATTTATGCTCTGCAAGGAAGTCTTGTGGCCATAGAAAATAAGGATAAAGAAAGAAGAGATTTGCTCTGATATTGCAGAAACAAGAAACAAGAAATATTAGCACAGGTTGAACAGCCAGACTGAATGTCCTTTGTCTACTCAGTAACCCGTATCGCTTCTGAATGTACAATGCTATCTACACCCAAGACAGCAAGAAAGCTTTAAGGAGATCACAGTTATCAGGAGTTCTCTAAGAAGTTATGAGACTTACTAAAGAATAAAAACATTCACTTCAGGAAGAATAATCTTCTTGGAGAGTTAGTTATCCATTTCTCTAAGGTTTCAGTACTCAGAAGTTTGTTATTGTCATAGCTCCATGATCTCAGCGTTTCTTGTGCAATGTAAAAAAGAATGGTGTTGATTTTTTTTCTCTCTGCACAAAATATATTGCCTGCACTTAAACAGGTTGTTTAAATACACATGTATGTTCTTTTCCATCGATCCCAATCCTGACTCTTATTAAAACAGGAAAAGTGATTCTTGCATAATTGCCTCACGGTCAGACCAGAAGACCATGTACAGTTGGTCTGGCTGGCCGTCTGTTCCTCCATTGCTGTGGAAAAGTGGAAGTGTTTCTGAAGTATGGAAGTATGCGCTTCAAATATCCATTAGGAAAAAATATTTCTCTGAACAATCATACAGTGAAGGCACTTAAACCAAGGTGATTAACCGCCTCTACCAACATTTCAGTATGGTCCTGAAAGGAAAAGAAGATGATGTTTTTCTTCTGGAGATAACTTTGGTTTATCTTTAACATGAAGCTCTTAGCATTCCTGGAAACAAATCTCTAAATAAAAAGCATACTTAACATATGTTACCACAGTCACATAAAAATGGCCTAATCAGATTTTATCTATATTTTGTCATGCCTTTGGAGTGGCCCCTTTTCATTCAGCAAGGATTGCACTGGGTTTGAAAGGATGTAAAAAGCCACGTCAGAAGGGGACCATGGTTTACGTTCAGCCTTTGTTATTCTAGCAGGAAACTACACCATACCTGACAAAGAAATTCATGTCTCTCCCTGCCCGCCACTGCAGTAGGAGTTTAAATCAGAATTTACTAACACGCAACCTTGAATATTTCACATCGACCATGCTCAAGTCGTCATTCTATCAATATTAAACCTGTTTCTAAACATGTATCACCTTCCTGAAGCTGACTGAAGCCAGGGGAGCTGTAACAATGTCATTATTAATACAGAATATATTGGTCTGGTGTGGTTTTACGTTGTTTATTTTTGGTGGTAACCATTTCCTTTTCTTGTACTCTTTTTTTTTTTTTTTTTTTAATCTAAGAAACCCATGCCAGGATCCGGTGTGTGCAGGTAATTTATCTGAGCCTGATGATGATGAACCAGTTTTCTGGATAGTCATATCAGCCCTAGGTGGAAGAAAGAGTGCATGCATGTATTTTATAGCCTGGAAGTCTCTGTGCTTTAATGCTGAGAAAAGCTTGCATTTAATAGTAAGTTATAAACATCAGGTAACTCTGCACTAGAACGTTTCCTGGAAGCCATATGCTGGATTGGCAGGAGCCATGAAAGCCTGGTTAGCCACTAACCACTCCTAATTTGGGTAGACTGCTTAGCATAAGAGCTGCTCTCCCACCAGCCTAAAAGTAATTTAATCTTCCCTCTACCACCTGTTTGGCTGCATCTGATGTGTACTGGTTGGCGGATGACTGGCTTTCTTCCCCTGTTGTTTTTGAGACTGGCTATCGAACAAGACAGCTGCCTTATGGGAAAATATATTTATGTATTTGTATTTATATATTACATAGAAATTATAAGTAAATATCGATGTATTTGATATTGCATCACAGAATCACAGAATGACCAAGGTTGGAAGGGACCTCTGGAGATCATCTAGTCCAAACCCCCTGCTCAAGCAGGGTCACCTCAAGTACTTTGCCCAGGATCTTGTCCAGATGGGTTTTGAATATCTCCAGCGAAGGAGACTCCACAACCTCTCTAGACAACTTGCTCCAGGGCTCTGTCACCCTCACAGCAAAGAAGTTTGTCCTCATGTTCAGACAGAACTTCCTGTGTTCCGGTTTGTGCTCCTT